TGGTGCATGCAGGGTGGATACTGAGAGGAAAGAGTTGTGGGAAAAGGTGATGCGCGTAAGCAAGAAGGGATGCCAGCAAGCAGGCATGTTGACAAGCAGGCATGTTGACAAGCAGGTGTGTTGGCAAGCATGCATGTTGACAAGCAGGCGTGTTGGCAAGCAGGCATGTTGACAAGCAGGCTCGGGAAGACAAGATTCAGCAAGGACGAGCTTATGGCTGAAAAATAACAGAAGAAGAAAGCAGGAGCCGGCTAGTCAGCATTCAGCAGCTGGCACAACGTGAGGCAGCAGCAGGCATACCGTGAGAGACACACGTGCCAGCAGCAGGCCCTGGCGTGTACCCCTCATCACAGACGCACTGGCCCTCGGGTTCACAGTAGGGTGGCGGCAGTTCATCCTCATCCTCACAGGCAGCCATGTTGTGAGAGGGGTCCGGCTGGAAGGAGCACACGCCACGGCCGCTGCACGGCGGGGTGAGCGGCTGCGCCCCACAGAACGCCCGGCACTCGCTGTCACCTCTCTGGTCCTCCCCACGGCCGCAGTAGATGGAGCTGTTCGCAAGGCAGTTGTGGTGGAAGAGACACAAGCTGTGGTAGTCTGAAGGGTCGTCTAGGCCGGTTGCGTTGACAGGGACAGGGTCTGCTGTGGATGTGAGGTAGTTGTGGTCTGCTGACAGTCCGCGTTCCGAAGTGAGACGGACCATGTGGTGGAAGGAGGGCAGCTCTCCCGTAAGCTGGTTGTGGTCAAGGTGGCTGTGATGCGAAAGGAAGGTGGGAGGGGAAGAGGTGGGAGGGCAGAGGAGTGCTTAGGAATGGGAGTGATGAGACAAGAGTAGGATTTTGAGTCGTCGACTTTTGACTTGTCAAACTAAATTTTCATTCTCATATGTCAGCGCTGAGTTGGATCAGACGGGCGTATCAGTGCTGTATGATTCTTCTCATCATTTCTTAGGCATGGACAGGGCACTCAGGAGGAGGAGGAATGCTGAATGAGTCAGGGTATGAGCACGACAGGGCTCCACAGAAACGACGGTAGACCCAGGAGGGGAGATTAAGTGGTGCTATGGGATGGGAGTAGGTGGATAGCTTTCACTCAGAACGGCTGACGAGGTTGACACCCTTCAAGTCAATGCGGCCTTCAGCAAGAAGTAAGGAAAGAGACGTGTGGGCGGCAGAAAGGAAGGAGACGTGCGGGTCGCAGAAACGAGTTGCTGCGAGTAGTAGGGGTGACGTTTCCGAGAGAAGAAGCGATGAGCAGCAGTAGTGCTGACAGTTGTTGGAGATTACTGCATGGGGTGACTGCAGCTGGTGACTCAACAGACATGCCTTTTGAGTTGATTCATCAGCAGGTTGCTTTTAAGGATCCCTTGTTTACTCAAAGACACCACCACTCAAGGATGACACTTGGGGGTGGGGACGACCGAGAAGGTAACACTGACAGGATTTCGAGATTAGCGAGCGTGGTGATTGCAGCAGGTATCGTCCCCGCAAGGCGATTGTTGCTGAGTTTCCTGAAGACAGGTGAATGGATGGATGGACGTGGAGGGAAGGGGGGATGAAGAGGGGATGAGGTGATGAGGAGGAGAGACGAAGTGGGGAAGAGGGGAAGAGGATAAGGGGAGAAGAGAGGAGGAGGAGAAGAGGAGGAGGAGGAGAGGAGAAGTGAAGGAGAAGTGAAGAGGAGAGGAGGATAAGAAAGCAGATATGGTGCCTTGGAAAAGCGTGAGTGCTGTTGCTGAAAGGTTTGTGCCTTGAGAAACATACACCCGCAGATCAGACGGAATTGAAGTCAACAAAAGTGCCTCCGCACTCTCGTACTCATCGCCCTCGTCTCCCCTCCCTCCCTCTCATTCCGTTCCTCATCCTACTCACCCTCTGAAACCCCCAATGCTCGAGAGGCAGGTGGTAAGAAGGAATGGAGAAGGGGGGTGGAGGGAGAATGGGCGCACAGGAAGGCGAGTGCAGTGAGGTGGGCGATGGAGGCGGGAATGGTGTTACTCAGCCAGTTGTCCTGCAAGTCCCTGCCATGGTATAGCATGTGATGGCATGGGATGGCATGGGATGGCATGGGATGGCATGGGATGGGATGGGATGGGAGGGGACGGGACGGGATGGGATGGGACGGGACGGGACGGGATGGGATGGGATGGGACGGGACGGGACGGGATGGGATGGGATGGGATGGGATGGACGCGCAGGCCATTAGCCCAGGGATGCCTCCACTCGCTCACTCACTCATTCCATCACTGAGCCACTCACTCTCTCACCCCCTCACCCACTCACTCACCCACACATTCACCCACTCGTCACTTACTCGCCCACCCTCTCTCTTGGCCTCTCACTCTCATACTCATTCGCTCACTGAGGGGGACGAATGATGCTGCCATGTTAGAATATAACATATGTGAGTCTATCATGGTGCAAGTGTTTCACCCAATGTGGGTGTACACTTTGGGGCCAACACGGCCCAACCAGGTTTGGTTGGGTGTACCCCAATCCCACTCGACCGCATTTGACGGGGGGAAAGCAGCTTGGTTGGTTCATCCAAACCATCATTCTCCCTCGCCCTCCCCCCCCCCCCAAAATTGACAGTCAGCCCAAAGCATTATTTAATGACCATTCTTATCGGTCAACCAAAACCAATAATGCTTTGAGTATCTCTCCAAGTTGCCCTCACGGCCATGCCACGTTTTACCTAATGACATCAACTCTTAAGTTCACCTCTCATCCCAAGTGTGCAATTCTCACACGCCACACCTGATCACCCCACAGCACCTTGCATGCCTACCCCATCACCACTCACAACTCCCGCAGCTGCTTGAGGCTGCTGACTGCCTCTGGAATGGAGCCTGAGAGACTGTTTTTGCTGAGGTCTCTGGAGCATGATGAGGGTGTGTGTGACGGAGAGGGGAAGGTGGAGCGGAAAATGCGGAGAGGGGAAGGCGGAGAGGAGAAGGTGGGGAGGGGAAGGCGGAGAGGGGAAGGCGGATTTAGTTGCTTTTTGCTAATAGTGGAGGTAAAGGAGGTGTAAGGCGGAAGAGAATGGACGGGGGGACAGCAGGGAAGAGGGCAGCAAGAGAGATGGGATTGGGTGGGATGGGGTGGGATGGGATGGGATGGGATGGGATAGGATGGGATGGGATGGGATGGGATGGGATGGGATGGGATGGGATGGGATGTGATGGGATGGGATGGGATGGGATGGGATGGGATGGGATGGGATGGGATGGGATGGGATGGGATGGGATGGGATGGGATGGGATGGGATGGGATGGGATGGGAAGGGATGGGATGGGATGGAATGGGTTGCACAAGCTACAACTCCCCATCAGCACTCACAACCGCTGCAGCTGCTTGAGGCTTCTGATTGCCTCTGGAATGGAGCCTGAGAGACCGCTCTGATATAGTACCCTGGAGCATGGGGAGGTTGGGCGGAGGCCGGAAGGGAGGCGATGGAGAGGGAGGTGAGGGGAAGGGCGGAGAGAGGAAGATAGGCATTGAATGCAGGGAGGTGGAAGGCAGGAGGGAAAGATGATAAAGCGGAGTGAATGGTGGAGAAAATGGAGGAGAGAATGGAGGAGAGAATGGAGGAGAGAATGGAGGAGAGAATGGAGGAGAGAATGGAGGAGAGAATGGAGGAGAGAATGGAGGACGGGTGCGAACGGTGCAGAGTTCTTTTGTTCTTTTGATTCGAGCTTTCTTGTGCAACGTGGCTGTGTCATATAATCACTTTACAGCTGACTGAAACGCATGTAGAGTTTCGAGAGATTCTTGCTGATAACACAGGGCAGGGAATCATAGTGCAGAGAATGGGAGAGAGGGGGGTGGAGGGAGAATGAGAGAGAGCGGGGTGGAGAGAGAATGGGAGAGAAAGGGATGGAGAGAGAATGGGAGAGAAAGGGATGGAGAGAGAATGGGAGACAGGCGGGTGGAGGGAGAATGGGAGATAGGCCGGTGGAGGGAGAATGGGAGAGAGGGGGGTGGAGGGAGAATGGCCACACAGGGTGGTGAGTGCGGTGAGGGGGGCAATGACGGCGGGAATGGTGCCACTCATGCTGTAGCAGTGCAGCCACCTGCCATATGGTTGTGTGGAATGCCATGTGATGGCATGGGATGGCATGTGATGGGAGGGCATGGGATGACATGGCATGGAAGTGAACATAAGGTATAGCATGTGTGACAGGTTTGTAGAGCGATGGCATGGCAAGGAAATGAAGATATGTACAGCACGTGCAGCAGCCCATGGCAGAGGTGGGCTCTGTAAATTGATGGCAGCCCATGGCAGAGGTGGATGGGGTGCCCTGGGTACTGGGTACTAAACAAGCTCTGTGGATTTATTTGAGTACTCTCATAATCAATCTACCCGGGAAGCTTCAGTAAAACGACCGACGTTGTTGGAGAAGCTCCAAAGGGGGGAAAAAAACTCGCAGTCACACAAATACGAGAACTCTAGCGAAGTTCCGTTGCAAAAACACAAGATGCATTCGAAACGGACTGTAGGCAGCACCAACGGTCTCCTCCTCAATACTCATGGCTTGCAATGCTTTCCCAGTGTGGTTGAGATGGTAATGTGAGTTGTGGCATCAGGCAACAATGGCTTGCAGGACTCAAAATGCACTATCAGTATCCTATTTACATATCATATCACAAGAAACGATACACATCCCACTATCAACAATTTTCCGTACAGATTTTCCAGGTTGGTGAGTGCTCCTATTGACTTGGGGATGGATCCCGTCAGATCGCTCTCCTCAAGGGCTCTGCGATCAAGTGCGGCACAGTGCGGTGAAGTGTGCGCAGAGAGGAATGGTGGAGAGGAACGGTGGAGGTTGGGTGTGGGAAAGTTGATAACGCATTGCCTCACATGCATCCCCTGTGCATCTTGCAGCACCAGCAGTGCACATACCTTCAATGCACGTGTCTGTTCTGCCTGTGTCTTGCAATACAGCACTCACAACTCCCTTAGCTGCTTGAGGCTGCTGATTGCCTCTGGAATGGAGCCTGAAAAGTTGTTCTCCCGGCAAACTCTGGTGCATTGAGATGGTTGGGCGGAAACGGGGAGGAGGGAAGTGCAGAGAGGGGAGGGGAATGACTGGCGAGGGAAGGCCGGAAGGGAAGGTATGGGTAAGAGAAGAGAATAGAAGCGGGAAGATGAAAAGGGAGACGAAGAGGCTGTTGGGAGCAATAGAGAGTTGTGTACTGTTGGTGCATGCCAGATGGTGCATGGCAGCACGCACAGTGAAGTCAAGTCTGTGAGGCTCAAGATCCACGCAGGCAGCTCCCCAGAGAAGTCATGATTAGACACGTGCCTGATGATGGAAACAGTCAAGAGAGAAGCAGCAGCCATGAGGCAAGGAGCAGGGAAGTTGCAGGAGAAAGGGGTATGAGGGACCCACGAATAGGCGTGAGGGGATGGGCAAGGTGAAACAACGAGCGAGGAGAACAAAAGAAGTGAGGGAGCATGGTAAGAGGAGGGGCCATGCGAATTTCCCTGTCATGTTGCGGTGCCATGCACATCACTTCACATGCCCTTCAGGCTTCGCACATCCGGTAGGGTGCCATCACATGCCATCCCATGCCATCACATGCCATCACATGCCATCACATGCCATCACATGCAATCACATGCCATCCCATGCCATCACATGCCATCACATGCCATCACATGCCATCACATGCCATCACATGCCATCACATGCCATCACATGCCATCACATGCCATCACATGCCATCACATGCCATCACATGCCCCTCACCCGGCCTTACAGAGACTGCAGCTTCTGCAGCTGGGAGAGCTGCTCTGGTAGTGACTCCAGTAGATTGTTACTCGACAAACGCCTGCTTGCACCATGCATGCACCACGCATGCACCACGGATGTGGAGGGTTAAGAAACATCCGAGGGTGCTGCTGCAGGGGAGAGGGGACGGTTGACCAGAGGCTGTTGACCAGAGGCTGTTGACAAGGGGCTAAAGGAAAGAAACGAGTGGCAGGAGATTAATTGGAGTGGGGAGCAGCAGGCAGTGCAGGTGAAAGCACAGAGATCAAAGCAGAGGGGTGTGAGGGGCCAGATGGGGTGTGACGGGCCAGATGGGGTGTGAGATGCGACATGGGCAATGCTGAGGAACAACGCTGTAAGCCTCCTCTTGCTCCACCACTTGCACTCATTCTCTCTCCTCACTCATTCACTTACCTCTCACCCACTCACGCACCCACTCACTCCTCTCCCACCTGCTGCACCTCTCCCCCCCAAGCGCACTGACAGGCGGGTGAGCTGCTGCAGATTGCCCAGCTCTTGCGGAACGGAGGCTTTGAGATTGCCGTGAGAGGCGGTGCTACTGCATTGATGGGCCGTGGCAGGCAGGAATGGGGGAGGGCAGGGAGGGGAGACATCAGGAAGGGGAGGGAGGGAGAAAGGGTAGAAGAGGGGAAATGGGGAGGAAGTGGAGTGGATTTGATTCACCCGAGAAGGGGGGAGTGTGGTAGGCAAGCAGTTGGGCGTGTATTTGCAGGTAGATTGGGGAAAGAAATGAGGGTGGCCGATGGAAAACAGGTGGATCACGGTGCTGTGATAAGAGGGAGGCGCATGAGAGAATGTAGAACTGACAGGCTCATGGGAGAGGTCAGCCTGCCTAGGGTATCCGGGAGCGAGCGAGGGAGTTGGTTGCAATGATCCAGTTCCCTGCAGGCAGTCAGCACACGCAAAGATGGTGAAGGGGCATTAGAGGCATGGGTTGGTGGATGGATGCAGATAAAAATACGAGAGGGGGAGAGGAATAAGAGAGGGACAAAATACGAGAATAGAAGAGAAGGCAGGCAAGACAGGTCAAGCCATGTTCAACCAATCGAGTGCAAGACAGTCACGTGCAAGTCCGTCCAAGCGAGGATAAGTCAGTACAAGCAAGGAGGATTCATTACAAGAAAGGGCAAGTCAGTCGGGGGAGGTGGGGGAAGGAACGCGTGAAGGCCAGTGGGGAAGGGAGAGTGAGATGACAGGAGTCTCACAGATCCTTGAGATGGGACAATGCGAGGAGAGCCGTGGGCAGCAAGCCAATGAGGGCGCACCTATCTGTGATGGTGCTGTGGGAGGAGACGGATGGCAGGGAGGGAGGGAAGGAGAATTGAGGTAGACTCAGATAGAGGTTTCACAGATGCGAAGGAAATGAGTTCAAAGTGCACAGGGAAAATGCAGGACAGTGCAATGCCATGCTTACAGTGCAATGCCATGCTTACAGTGCAATGACATGCCCGTCGCCATCACATCGCACGGCTTCCATGCTGTTGCAATCCTCGCCCCTCTTCCATGTGCTCACACCCCGCACATTCGTTGCGTGTCTCCACACCCCGCTCACATCACTCCATTCGTATGCTAGACTCGCCAAAGCTTCCACTGTCATCCATGCCATGCACCCATGCCATGCACCCATGCCATGCACCCATGCCATGCACCCATGCCATGCACCCATGCCATGCACCCATGCCATGCACCCATGCCATGCACCCATGCCATGCACCCATGCCATGCACCCATGCCATGCACCCATGCCATGCACCCATGCCATGCACCCATGCCATGCACCCATGCCATGCACCCATGCCATGCACCCATGCCATGCACCCATGCCATGCACCCATGCCATGCACCCATGCCATGCACCCATGCCATGCACCCATGCCATGCACCCATGCCATGCACCCATGCCATGCACCCATGCCATGCACCCATGCCATGCACCCATGCCATGCACCCATGCCATGCACCCATGCCATGCACCCATGCCATGCACCCATGCCATGCACCCATGCCATGCACCCATGCCATGCACCCATGCCATGCACCCATGCCATGCACCCATGCCATGCACCCATGCCATGCACCCATGCCATGCACCCATGCCATGCACCCATGCCATCCACCCATGTCATACCACACAAGGCCGCATATCCTCCCACATCTCGTGTTGGAAACATTCCCAGGGGAGGGGTGAGCAGAACGAGGAGAGGGTATAGGGATGGAGGTGGTATGGCGGGAGCGGCAGCTGCCACCAGCAGTGATTGCTGTTGCTGGTACAGAGTTTATGTTGCGTGCTGAATCGGGTTACTGTCACGGATGATGCTGACTCATCTGCACCCTGGGCGGTATGGAACACGGCATGGCTGACTGTCAGGGACCTCTGCCTGTGTTAAGGAGGAGTAGGTGGAGGGACGAGAGCGGGCTTACTGTCAGCACGGCTTACTTTCAGCACGGCTTACTCTCGGCTTAACGGCTTACTCTCGGCTGAACGGCTTACTCTCGGCGTCCACCACGGGAGTAGAGCGTGCGAGGGGCATGCAGCAGCGCGCCACCACCAGCGCCACCACCGCCGCCCTCGCCGCCATCATGACGCCCGCCGCGCCTCCCCATCGCCGCGGCGCAACCGTGACACCCCATCGATATTACCGCGCGTGTTGTCGGCCCGTGTGCTTGTTTGCCGTACGCGGTGCTTGCACCGTGCGGTGTACAGGTCTGTGCTTTGCGTCTTTCACGAGTCGTGAGCCGTCTGCATGTGCGCGCTGCAGCGTGGGAGATCGAGACTCTTGAGCAAAACAGATTTTCTAAGCCGTTTCCAGGAAGGTTGATTCCAGCTGCTACCTAAGGGCGAGTAACGCGGACATCTTATAACATTCATTCTCGTCGTTGTATTGGTCTCTCGCGGGAGTCTCGGGAAACACTGACCTGGGGAGAGTGCGGTGTGATGGAGGGATGGTTCAGTTTACCAGCTTGTGCTCGGTTGGATGGCGTGGTGTTCGGTTTCTCCGTGCAAACTTTCTCCATATCGAAAGCTTGTTTTCCCACCAATTATCGCTGTTTCTTTACCCACAAAAACGCTCCAGAACTTTGCCAAACCCTTTACACCGCACAGCATCGTCGTTGCTCTATGATTGTGAAGCCCCGAAGAACATGAAGACTTCGGCTGACCAATCCGGTTGGTGGTGACGGTGAAAGAGAGGAACGCGTTACAGTAAAATGTCCGTCAAAACGATCTTGAATTTCAAAACTTGCATCTTTATTCCACCTATCTTCAACAATCGGCATACAATATCAAGATGTAGTCCTAATCACTCCCTGGCTGTCAGAAAAGCAGCAAGAGTGCAACCACGACACGCATTCAGGACAACTTGCATAAGTGAGACATGTAAAAGGGTACAACTAATATTAAGGCAGTACTACATATTTCAATAAGGATTATAACGGCATCTAATGATACTACAGTGTTATAGATGCAACCAGGATTGGACATCCAACAGGCCCTCAGATTCGGTTTAGACTCCTCAGGCTCGCATTGCATGGCATTGTAACCTAGCGAAAGGAGGTAGTCATTTCTGGGTGGCAGTAATTTCTTGGAAGGTAAAATAAAAAAACATTTCGTCGTGGTAGTCAACCCTTGGCAGTACTGCACTAACAATTGATCTCCACACCCATGGCAGCTTGCCGGGCAGCAAGGGCTCTCTTTGAAAAGAAGTAGCGTGTGGGGGGTCGACTCTTGAGGCGCCTCAGCAACTGCGGCAGATTGAAGGCCAACAGCAGCAGGACCACCAGTGGAAGCAGCAGCAACAGCAGCAGGTTTTGAGGCACGTGGAGAGCAGACAGAGCCACCCCCACCACTGCTATGCCTGGTGGTTCAGAGGGTGGGTTGTGGAAAGAGAGAGTGGAGGAGAATGGCGCATGGTGGTTCAGAGGGTGGGATGGTGAAGGTAGTGCCACCCCCATGGCTGCTGTGCCTAGTGTTCCAGATGATGGGTTGGTGCCTGCAGGGTGGATGAGGGAAGGGGGGAAGGGAGGGAGGAGCGGATGCAGGCACAGAAGGTGCATAGTGAAGTGGGAGTGCTGGGTAGTGGTGGAGACGGACTGAGCAGTGGACTGAATTGGCATGTAAAGAAAATCGGGACGGGTAAGGGCAGTGCGGTCTTGACGGGCTCACAGAGACTGTGAGCCGGATGCATGCACGATGCAGACGCAGTGTGGCTTGAGTGGAGGGAAACAGGACTGACACCCCGGCACGCGTGTCCAGTTTCCACTTTTTCTAGGGTGCTCCGAATGGACTCAGTGCGGCCAGTGGAGGAGCGCGAGTGACACTACCCGGCACGAGCAGCCCGGTGGAACCCACGGGGGCATGTGTGGGTAGCAAGCAGGCATGTTGGCAAGCAGGCACCAGCTAGCGAGGGCATTCAGCAACAGGCATACCATGAGGGACACACGTGCCAGCAGCAGGCCCTGGCGTGTACCCCTCATCACAGTCGCACTGGCCCTCGGGTTCACAGTAGGGTGGCGGCGGCACATCCTCATCCTCAAAGGCACTCATCTCCTCAGACGGGTCCGGCTCGAAGGAGCACACGCCATGGCCGCTGCACGGCGGGGTGAGCGGCTGCGCCCCACAGAACGCCCGGCACTCGCTGGTGCGCTTCTGTTGCTTCTGGAGGTGCCAACGGCCGCAGTTGATGGAGCTGTGTCCGAGGCAGTTGTGGTGGAACAGACACAAGCTGTGGGATTCTGCAGGATCCTCTAGGCCGGTGGCGTTGAAAGGGAGAGGGTCTGCTGTGGCTGTGAGGTAGTTGTGGTCTGCAAACAGTCCGCGTTGCGAAGTGAGACGGACCATGTGGTGGAAGGAGGGCAGCTCTCCCGTAAGCTGGTTGTGGTCAAGGCGACTGTGATGGCAAGGAAGGTGGGAGGGGGAGAGGTGGGAAGGAAGAGGAGTGGTTGGGAATGGGAGTGTGGGGAAAGATGGAGTGCAGGAAAGGGGGAGTGATGAGACAGGAGTAGAATTTCATGTTGTCGGTTCTTGAGGCGTCAAATCTTGAGTCGTCAAATCTTGAGTCGTCAAATCTTGAGTCGTCGAATCTTGAGTCGTCAAATCCGATTTTTCATAAGCCAGCACTGTATTGGATCAGATGGGTGTGTCAACGCTGTAAGAAGATATGAAGAGAAGAAGAGAAGAAGATATGAAGAGAAGAAGAGAAGAAGAGAAGAAGAGAAGAAGAGAAGAAGAGAAGAAGAGAAGAAGAGAAGAAGAGAAGAAGAGATGAAGAGATGACGAGAAGAAGAGATGAGGAGAAGAATAGATGAAGAGAAGAAGAGAAGAAGAGAAGAGAAGAAGAGATGAAGAGATGACGAGAAGAAGAGATGAGGAGAAGAAGAGATGAAGAGATGACGAGAAGAAGAGAAGAAGAGAAGAAGAGATGACGAGAAGAAGAGAAGAAGAGATGAAAATATGTGCAGTACTGACAGTTGTTGGAGATGAGTGCATGCAGTGACTTTTGAGTGGACTGGAGCTGGTGGTGGCTCAACAGACATGCCTTTTGAGTCAGCTCGGCAGGCAACACAACCACGTTGCATTTAAGATCAAACAAAGACTCCACTCCACCATTCAAGGATGACACTTGGGTGTTGGGACGACCGAGGCGGTAACACTGACAGGTATTCGAGATTAGTGAGCGTGGTGATTGCAGCAGGTATCGTCCCTGCGAGGCGATTGGCGTTGAGTGCCCTGAAGACCGACGGGTGGATGAATGGACATGGAGGGAAGGAGGGAAGACGAGGGGAAGAGGTGACGAGGAGAAGAGACGAAGCGGAGAAGGGGGGAAGAGTATAATCGGAGAAGAGGGGAGAAGAGGAGAGGAGGAGATGAGGGGAGGAGAAGTGAAGAAGAGAGGAGGAGAAGTGAAGAAGAGAGGAGGAGAAGTGAAGAAGAGAGGAGGAGAAGTGCGTGCCTTGAGAAACACACATCAGCACCAGCAGACGAAATTGAAGACGACAAAAAGTGCTCCATACTCTCATATCCAAACCCCCGATGCTTGGCACAGAGAGGCAGGCGGAAAGAGGGATGGACGGTGAAGGGGGGTTGGAGGGAGAATGGGCGCACAGGCTGGTGAGTGCGGTGAGGTTGCCGATGCAGGCGGGAATGGTGCCACTCAGCCTGTTGTCCTGCAGAAACCTGCCTCGGATGGAATGGCATAGCATGGGAGTGAATGGTAAGATTGGATGGGATGGAATGGTATCGAATGGGATGGACGGGCAGGCCATTAGCCCATAGGGATGCCTCCACTCACTCTCTCATCCCCTCACCCACTCACTCACTCACACTTACACCCACAAGTCACTGACTTGCCCACCCTCACTCTCCCACTCACTTGCTCACTGAGGGGATCTACCACACCTAATCATTCCGCAGCACCTTGAATGCCTACCCCATCACCACTCACAAATCCTGTAACTGCTTGAGGCTGCTGATTGCCTCTGGAATGGAGCCTGAGAGACTGTTATCGTTGAGGTATCTGGAGCATGGTGAGGGTGCGTCGGAGAGGGAAAGGCGGAGAAGGGAAGGCGGGGAGGGAAAGGTGGGGAGGGGAAGGCGGGGAGGGGAAGGGTGGCGAGGGGAAGGGGAGGCATTGGAGGTAGAAGGCAGGAAGGACAATCATGATCAAGAGATTGGAATTGGAAAGCTGAAGTGGTGGATGGATGGATGGAAGCAGTGAAGAGAAGCTTTTTCATGATCCGAAGCATTCTCCTGTAACATTTTCATGTAGCATTCTCATGGTGGTCGTATTGTTATGATTTTGCAGCTGACGAAAAGCTTAAATGCTGCTATAGTTGCCTTTGCTAGTAGTGGAGGTAAAGGAGGTGTAAGGGAGAGAAGAATGGGAGAGAAGGCATCAGGGAAGAAAGCAGTGAGAGAGATGGGATTGGGATGGTATGGGATGGGATGCGGTGGGAATGGGATGGGATGGGATGGGATGGGATGGGATCGGATGGGATGGGATGGGAGGGGATGGGTTGCACAAGCTAAAACTCCCCATCACCACTCACAACCGCTGTAGCTGCTTGAGGCTGCTGATTGCCTCTGGAATGGAGCCTGAGAGGCCGCTGTCCATACGGAATGGAAACTGACGAATTTCCCTGGAGCAAGGGGAGGATGGGCAGAGGGCGGAAGGGAGGCAATGAAAAGGGAGGTGAGGGGAAGGTCGGAGAGAGGAAGGAGAGGCATTGAATGCAGGGAGGAGTGAAATGGAGGAGAGAATGGAAGGCAACACAGGAATGGTGGATGGGTGGGAACAGTGCAGAGTTCAGATCTTTTTATCGATCCGAGCTTTCTTGTGGAATGTGGTGGCGTCATCCGAGAATTCTCAAAAACTCCCTGCAACGTCATATGACTACTTTAAAGCTGGCTGAAAAGCATGCAGTGTTTCGAATTTACTTGCTGATATCACAGGGCAGGGAATCTTAGTGCGGAGAATGGGAGAGAGGGGGGTGGAGGGAGAATGCGAGAGGGAAGGGGTGGAGGGAGAATGGGAGATAGGCAGGTGGAGGGAGAGTGGCCACACAAGGTGGTGAGTGCGGTGAGGTGGGCAATGGAGGCGGGAATGGTGCCACTCAGGCTGTTGCAGAGCAGCCACCTGCCATGTGGTGGCATGGGAGGGCATGGGATGGGATGTGATGGGACGGGATGGCATGTGTTGGGATTGCATGGGACGGGATGTCATGGGATGGCATGGCATGGGATGAGACGGCAGGGGATCGAAGATAAGGTCAGGCATGTAGTAGGGGATTGAAGATGTGTGGCAGCTCCGTAGATTGATGGCAGCTCATGGCAGCTCATGGCAGCTCATGGCAGCTCATGGCAGCTCATGGCAGCTCATGACAGCGGTGGATGTGGTGCCCACTGCCCTGGATGTGGTGCCCACTGCCCTGGATGTGGTGCCCACTGCCCTGGATGTGGTGCCCACTGCCCTGGATGTGGTGCCCACTGCCCTGGATGTGGTGCCCACTGCCCTGGATGTGGTGCCCACTGCCCTGGATGTGGTGCCCACTGCCCTGGATGTGGTGCCCACTGCCCTGGATGTGGTGCCCACTGCCCTGGATGTGGTGCCCACTGCCCTGGATGTGGTGCCCACTGCCCTGGATGTGGTGCCCACTGCCCTGGATGTGGTGCCCACTGCCCTGGATGTGGTGCCCACTGCCCTGGATGTGGTGCCCACTACCCTGGATGTGGTGCCCACAGTTAACAGGAATAGAGTGTTGGCCCCGCCCTCGCTTGGGCAACGCCGACGACTTGGTCGGATGTACGGGAGTAGCAGCCGACCGTTCACAGTGGGAGAGCTGCTCGACAGGCTTCGTCGAGCTGCAGGGGACCGCTGTGGTGTTGCTGTCGACCAGGGAGCTCGACAGCTGCAACTGACTGTTCCGGTCGACGGAAGGGGTCCGTCGACCAGGGGGTAGCTCGACGGGGGTTGTGGTCGACCAGAGGCACCTGGTGGTCGACCAGAGGGACCTGGTGGTCAACCAGAAGCAGTGGTGGTCGACCGGAAGCACCTGGTGGTCGACCGGGTCGACCGGGTAACCTGCTCGACGAGTTCTGCGGAGGCACGCGAACGTCGTCGAGGATGCGATGGCGCAGGCGACTGCGGGCTGGTATCTCGGAGTCGATGTGGCTCGTCAGGCGCAAACAACAGCCGATGGATGCCCAACGAGGCAAGTCGGGCCAATCGTCTGCGCGCATCTGTGAGCGTGCGCACTGCTGTGTTCTACGGGGCAACGCTGGACAGCCGCTCTGCTGCAGCGTTGGCACGCCGTCGACCTGCTCTGTTGGCAGGTCGCCCTTCTGCAGTGCTGGCGCGGTTCCTCTACGCAACGCTGGCAGGCGGTCGACCGAGCTGCGCTGGCGGACGACCAGGCTAGCAGCAGGGTTGCTAGGTGCCTGATGTAGTCATTGTTGTCATTGCTTGTTGAATCATTCTGTAATTTCGACTTTGCCTAGTGGAAACTCTTGCCGATTACTCCCGTGAATGCGGAAGCACTAAGGAACTAAGCAAACCTACGATCACCTCTGGTAGTTCGTGCCAACCCCCGTAGTCAAGCTCACTACCGTTGTAGAGTGACTCTCCGCATGGTGCGGTGAGCGTGGACGGCCCCGCAAATACCTTCAGATAGGAGCCGACTTTTGCACCTACTAAGTCGTTCGTAGGCCGGCAGCAGCCATAGTCGCCATGGTCGACCCCGTAGTTGATGCGGGCGTAGCGGACGCCTTGGAGGCACGTTTGGCTGACGCGAGGAGACGCCACGCGGATGGCGAGTACGGGACGATCCCCTTGGTGATCGCCGAGTTGGGCATCCGGTCGCAGTGGGCGACGGAACACCCTTCCCGTCCTGCATCTCCTCGACCGGTGCGCAACGAAGGTGGCGTCGACGACGAGGTCGACGGTGGTGCACGAGTCAGCGGCAGCGAAGGCACGAGGCAGAGAGGGGTGATCAAGGTCGACGGTGGTGTCGACGGAATCCAGGCGCGAGTGCAGCGGTCGACGGCGGTTGCAGGCAGTTCGCGTGCCGACGTCGATGTTCGACGTCGCTCTCCTCTACGAAGCGGTGGAGGGCTCTCGGCGACGACGCATGTGACTGCAGGCGGGATTGCACCGGCGTATGGCTACTTCAAATTCTCGCCGGACCGGATCACCGTCGCACCGCTGCAAGGTCGACGGGACCTCATCACCTGGAGGGAGTCGATAGAACCTCAGTTGGAGGTCGCCGGGCTGAAGGGCTTCGCCGACGGCACCGTGCCAATTCCGCCCGAGGAGGATGTCAAGCTGCGCGGGGAGTTTCGTTCTGCTCACCTGCTCACCTTCATGGTCATCTCGAGGTGCTGCTCGCCAGTGGTGCAGCTAGCGCTCAGGAGCTGTCGCGAGCGACTGGATGCTGGTCACCAGGCATGGCGCTTTATCATGTCGACGTACCAGGTCAGGGACGACCTGTACATCGGGCAGCTGGAGGAGAAGATGACTCACATTCGGATGGGCGAGCAGGAGTCGGCGACGGATTACTGCAACCGTGCTCGACGGATCCTGGCTGAGATGCGGATGGCGGGCGCCGAATACTCGACGGCGTCCTACATCACTCACGTCCTCAAGGGCCTGCCGCGCAGCTACAACCTCATAAAGAGGTTTACGATGGTGCCCGGCACACGTGAGTCCCTCGACGAGGACTCCCTCACCAGCTACATCCTCCAGGATGAGGCGATGCAGGAGGCAGAACAGCCCACGGAGTTCCTTCCGCAGGCGAGTTACGCTGCACCGACGAAGCCGAATTGTCAGCAGGAGCAGCGCGGGAAGCCGGGCGGAGGTGGTAGCGGAGGTGGGCGGTCGACGAAGGACGTCGACGAGAAGCGGTCGACGCGGGACAAGGGTCGACGAGGTGGTGGTCGACGGTGGGAGTGCTGGATCTGCGGCGACCCCGACCATCTCTCCTTCGAGTGCCCCGACCGCGATGACAGCGACGAGGACGACAACAAGGGAGGCCGTGGTCGATCGGCCAGTCGTCGCCCCCGTCGAGATGAGAAGCCGCGCAAGGAGAAGCAAGCGTCGAAGAAGACGTCGTCGACGAAGGACGTCGACAGCTCCAGCGGCAAGAGCCGAGGCGACGGGGAGGCGTCGTGCTCGATGGTCGGCGTGGTGGAGCCGACGGTCTTGCTGGCGCCGGAGGCTGGCGAGGACTTCCAGGCGGTGGCGGCAGCTGTGCAGGCCAACCCGATGGCAGTGCTGCTCGACAGCGGGTGCTCCCACCACCTGATGGGGACGAAGTCGGTCTTCGTCGACATGGGGCCGAGCGACGGGGTGAAGCACGTGCGTGGGTTCAACGGGGCATTGCAGCCTGTCGAGGGTCGCGGAACTGTCGCTCTGCTGGGAAGCGGGTCCTCATCCCCGACGTACTCTACGTTCCGGGCGTACAGGCGAACCTGCTGTCTGCTGGCCAGCTGAAGGAGAGCGGAGTGCTGCTGCAGGGCGATGGCGACGAGATGCTGCTCGTCCCCGCAACCGGGGAGGTGCTCGGTCGAGCACGCTACACCGGACGGGTCCTCTGCACCGACCTTCGCCTCTGCTCGACGCAGTCGCAGTCGACCGAGGTGGTGGCTCTGCGGACGATCGTCTCGGCAACGAAGACGACCCCCGATAGGATGCATGCGCGGCTCGCACACGTCAGCGTCGACACGATCAAGAGCTCGGCGAAGCATGATGTTGCTACTGGGCTCGACATCACGTCGTCGACCGGAGCGGACCCGCCGTGTGTCTCGTGCGTCGGAGGAAAGCTGGCGCGGCACACCTTCCCCGCCAAGGGCTCGGACGCAGCGGAGGCGCTGGCTGTCGTGCACATTGACTTGTGCGGGCCATTTCGGGTGGCTGCCAAGGATGGCAGCTTGTACTTCCTGCAGCTGAAGGATCGCCATACTCGTTTCGTGTGGGCAATGCCGGTCGCTAAGAAGAGCGACGTGCTGCAGGAGTTCCAGAAGTGGTTGGTGCTGGTGGAACGACAGACGAAGAAGTCGGTGCTGTCGCTTCGCTCCGATCGAGGCGGGGAGTTCCACGGGAAGGCATTCACCAACTTCGTTGACGGGAAGGGCATCGTCCACGACCTGACGTGCCCCTACACTCCGCAGCAGAACGGCATGGCTGAGCGGGAGATGCGCACGGTCGTCGAGTCCGTGCGGACGATGCTGCTGCACATGGGCGTGCGGCACCACTGGTGGCACCTTGCTCTACGACAAGCTGTCTGGGTGCGCAACTGCTTGGAGCGGTCGACGACGCCGCCGGGGACGACTCCGCACCAGCTGCTGACCGGGAAGAAGCCCAACCTTACGCTGGCGCGGGTGTGGGGCTGCATGGTGCAGTTCATGGTTCCCGAGCAGCAGCGCGGTGGGAAGCTGGCGCCGAAGGCTCGTTGGGGGCTTCACCTGGGTGTGTCGCAGGAAAGCAAGGGCTGGGAGGTACTCGACCTGACCGACAACAAGGTGGTCACGTCGGTCGAGGTGATCTTCTACGAGACGCTGTCGCTGGAGGTGTGGAAGGCGAAGTATGGGCCGGCGTCGGAGCGGACGCAGGCACACCCTCCGACGGACACCTCGACGGCCACGGTTCCGTTGCTCGCCGACGTCGACGAGCCTGCTGATGAGGATGTTGTGGAGGTTCTTCCCCCTCCCCCTGCTCTTGCTCCTCCGTTCCCCGTCGCAGATCGGCCTGGGTCGGCACCTGTGTCGACCACCGACGATGAGGGGAGCCTTGAGGCGTCGCCTGTGGCGCCGGCCCATGGCATCGCCGGCGGTCGACAAGGCGCCAAGCTCGTCGACTACGATGGGAAGCCGTCGACGACAGGGGAGCAGCAGACAGGGGAGCCGGTCGAACAGGAGGCAACAGCAGCGGGGCAGCCGACAGGGGAGCAGCAGCCGGGGCGGTCAACAGGGGAGCAGTCGAAGTCAGCAGCAGACGAGCACCCGGTCGACGGGTCGAAGCCATTGGTCGACAACGAGGACGTCGACGAGGAAGGGGAGCAGTCAGCGGGTGAAGAATCCACCGACAGCGACGTGGTGGAAGTGCCGATCACGAAGCCTGAGCTGCGACGCACAGGTCGAGCTCGACGGCCACCGGAGCGGCTGAGCTTCCACGCCTGCCTACCGCCAGCTGCCTTCACTACGGTGTTCGACGATGTCGACGACGACCTGTTGTACGACGACGCCGAGGAGGATGAAGACCTGCCGGAGCTCGACCCTGACGTGCATGCTGACCCCGAACACCGCTGGGACATCGCCACGATGACGGTGAAGGTGGCGCTGTCGAGCTGGAAGGGCGAGGTGGTGAAGGCCGCCATGGAAGAAGAGATCCGCAGCCTCATCGGTATGGGGACTTGGGAGCTGGTCGAACGCCCACGCGGGGTGAACATCATGAAAAACCGGTGGGTGCTGACGACCAAGTACCGCATTGACGACACCGTCGAGCGCGAGAAGGCGAGGCTGGTCGTGAAGGGCTTCACGCAGGTGTACGGTGCTGACTATGACGAGACGTACTCGCCGGTGAGCAGCTACGTCACGCTGAGGATCTTCCTCAGCATCGTCGCCGTCCTCGACCTCAACCTGATGCAGCTCGACATGAAGAACGCTTTTTTGCAGAGCAAGCTCGACAGGGTGCTTTACATGTACCAGCCGGACTACTTCGACGATGGGACCGGCCGGGTGTGTAAGCTGATGAAGAGCCTC